ATAGTATATATATATATATATATATATATATATATATATATATATATATATATATATATATGTATATATATATTATTATTAGTATATATATATATATATATATATATGTATATATATATACATATATAAAAACACACACACATATATATATATATATATATATATATATATATAAATGACATGCATATATCAAAGTGCCAAAGAATGACATGCATATGTAAGGACTACTATAAAACACTACTACTATATTCTCTATCACAAATATCTACTACTAAATACTACACCACTAGAGTGCAATAGTAGAGCGTGAAGGTAGTTGAGAATCATAACCCATGTCATGTTCAAGCATCATTTGAAACACTGATGTTATGACCATGGTTCGCGATACCACACGGACACTCCTATCCTGATTTCAACTGCTACACGTAGAGGACAGCACGCACTAATTACACTAAAAGCACTAATTTAGTCACTTGCAACACTTCGTACGCACTAATAACCTTTTAAAAGCACTAATTTAGTCACTTGTAACACTTCGAACGCACTAATTACACACTAAAAGCACTAATTTAGTCACTTGTAACACTATAAAAGCACTAATTTAGTCACTTGTAACACTTCGAACGCACTAATAACCTTTTAAAAGCACTAATTTAGCCACTTGCAACACTTCGAACGCACTATTAACACACTAAAAGCACTAATTTAGTCACTTGCAACACTTCGTACGCACTAACAACCTTCTAAAAGCACTAATTTAGTCACTTGTAACACTTCGAACACACTAATAACACACTAAAAGCACTAATTTAGTCACTTGCAACACTTCGTACGCACTAACAACCTTCTAAAAGCACTAATTTAGTCACTTGTAACACTTCGAACACACTAATAACACACTAAAAGCACTAATTTAGTCACTTGTAACACTTCGAACACACTAATAACACACTAAAAGCACTAATTTAGTCACTTGTAACAATTTGAACGCACTAATAACACACTATGGTACATACTGTGCTTGTGGATCAGAACAAACTCCAACGTATTGAACGACCGGAGTGTGGCCTTGACATTCAGTGGCTGCCCCGGATGCAACTGCATCTCCAGACAGTACTCACTCTTATCGTCACCTTCCTTGGTCTGGTCGTCCTTAGACAAGGCGCGACGCTTTTGTAGCTGAATAGTACAGTAGGACACAAAATACCACAATAAAACATAGAGTGGATAGAGAGGGTGTGACAAAACCTGCAATATTTCCAGTATTCTGGCGATTGATTGTCGCATTTTGTGTGCAAAGAAGAAACGTTAGATTGTTTAGGGATGATCTAGAAATATTATATATATGTATGTATATATATATATATATATATATATATATATATTATTCTCACCTAC